CCATTGATCTTGGATGAGGTCCAGGTGACTTTGATCCACAGGATAATGATAATTATGATGGCCGCTATACCAATGCGCAGAGGTGTTCTCATCGTTCAGCGAGGACCGGGAGATAAGAGCTGAAGCTACAGCAGTGTAGTTGTTTAACCAGGAAGAACACAAGGATAAGTTGCTTGAAGCAGCTCATGTCATGGTCCCAATCCCCGTTTGCTTTGGGCTGCCGATACCGAAATGACACAGGCATCGCAAGAAGCTCAGCCTTAAGGGAGCTTGCTGCGCCGCAGCGCCAATGTTCCAGTTAAACAAAGGAAGTGAATACTCTGTAGGAGTGTTATCGCCGGCGCCTATTTGGGTCGTGTAACTCGTGTTAGTGAATGGATGGCCAGACGAGAGCCAGGGTGTCATGAAAACTGACAGGGTATGTCAATGGCTGATCACAGCCACATGGCCAATGACAGGCGGAGAATCAAGACTATCACTTTAGCGCAGGGGATCTTTGCCAACAAGGCGTTGACGTTGGCTCAAGGATTCGCGTAGATGCAGGCTCTAAGCATAAGCGAAGCTCGTGTTTGATCAGCAGTCAGACAAGCTGCGAGATTCCCAACGAGTCGGAGATGTTGGTACTCCGTATGTTGTTGGTGATTTACGCCTGACCAACCATCCTCATTGCTACACGAGCTTGCGTTAGACGCGATCTCAAGACTAGAATCTTCGGGGTACTTGGGCAGATGTCGGTCTGGGAAGGTCCTTGCACAAGCACGTTAGCGTTCTCGAATCAGTTTTCAGCCCTGACGATGCGTTGTTATGATATGCTAACTTTGGAATCGATCTCCCTGGTCTAGACGACTTCACGCTGGCAGCGATAGGCTTTGCCCCCTGCTAGGAGTATGCATCAATAATAATTCTCGAAGCATCAGCTAGCCGAGCCGCATTGGGACCCTCTTAATATGTTGGTCTGGTACCAGCTGTGCTCTTTTCGTCCATGTCTCGCTGCTCTCTCTCTCTCTCCTTTCTGCCATGGGCTGTACGGAGTACAGTACATTCATTCCGCTCTTTTGAGTCCTAATATAATAATAGCCCATCAGGATGCTGTTGTTGCATGTACATAGAGGCCTCTTCTCGTACGCTCTTTCTTTCAGCCTGCTTTTAATATCCACTTTTGTTGCAGTATGTTGGGCAGAAGACTGCGCGCCATATCCAATCTCTGCGCCCATCCAGGATGTGCATTTGTCCAACAACCAGATAATGCGAGGCGTAGCCATGTCCGTCGGTACGCCGGCGCAAAACTTTGCTTTTCTCCCTCAGTGGTATGGTCCTCGCCCTTTTTCAGCTTCTTTTTTTTTTTACACTTCCTAACTGCAAGCGCGCAGCAGGCCTATAAATAATACATACGTCTATGACAGCAAAGGCCAGTGCATTTCAGACTGGCCAGAAAATACGTGCACCACCTTTCGTGGTGGACAGTACGATGCGAATGCCTCTCGAACATATATCGAGGCCAACAGCAGCATTGCGGCTTTTGATTCCACACCCAACGTCACCACTCAGAGTCTTTGGGCCAAAGACAGCTTGACCTTCAACTCCAACCTGACCCTGGAGAATTTCCCGCTGGGAATCCCACGAGTCGACTGGGGAGGATTCTATGATCCTCAAATGGTCCTGGGCATGGGGCCGAATTCGACGATCCTCAACGCCCTGAAAGCCGCCGGGAAAGTGAGCTCACGGACGTGGTCTTTCTTCTGGGGGTTGACGGGGGCAACTCCCAACGTCCAAATGCCTGGGAGTTTTGTTCTGGGCGGCTACGATCGAGCCAAGGTGACGGGGAATAACCACACGCAAGCCCTCAGCTCGCTGAAACCGACCTGCAAAACGGGGATGCTCGTCACGATCGTCGACATGCAACTCAACTTTCCCAATGGGACCAGCCCCAGCCTTTTCAATGGAACCCTATCAGCGGCGATGTCGGCATGTATCCAGCCCGACTTTCCTGTCATCATGACAATGCCTTACGACCCGTACTATGCGTATTTTATGGAGCTTGCAGGAGGCACTTTTCTGGGACGTTCCCTAGGGGTGAACTACTATGGGATGAACTATGCGCCTCAGGACGTGTATGCTGTCTCTTCCAGGTGACTTCTGTCTAGAAAACTCAATTGCTGAACCAAATTTTTTTGTACAGGTATGACGGCGATCTGACCATAGTGCTCGATTCTGGGCTGAGCGTGCGCATTCCCAACCACGTGCTGGTCAATCCCGACTTGATTGTCAACAAGACCAACGGGCATCTATACATAAACGACTCCTCGCTCGAGGTCCTCATCAATTCGCAGCAGACGATAAACGCGAATGATCTACCGATCATAGGCCGACAGTTTTTCTCTGCCGCATACGTGATGCTGAACCAGGACAGCAACGAGTTTACGCTCTGGGCGGCTAATCCAACAACAGATGAAGACCTGGTCGCCGTTGATGAGAATAACCAAGTGGTAGAGCAGTTCTGCGCTCCGGGGTCTGGCAACACCACACAGACACCCACTAATATCACGAGCCCACAGTCCGCATCAAAGCCATCCGCGACCGCGTCACCAGACAAGGCAAGCCGTGGACTTTCCGGAGGTGCTATTGCCGGAATTGTAGTCGGGTCTTTGGCGGGAATAGCAGCGATTGCGGCTTCAACATATTACTTTTGCATGCGACAAGATCGGGATGGGATGCCAACAGCAGCAGCAGCAGCAGCAGCAGCAGCGCAGGATCGATCTTACGTCCCACCACCTTCATATTCCCCTCTAGCCCCCGTGGAGATGGAAAACAAATACGTCCAGCCATATACAGGACCGGTAGAAATGTATGCAGGAGATGTCCCTCCTCCAGCAGGGAGGAGACCTCCGTCTAGACGGGCTGCTCCGGGGACATATGAATTAGCAGATAATCAAATCTGACCTTTAAAAAAAATTAACGACAACAAAATTTGCTGAGAAGTCGATTCCTACGTTTGCTGGTATATCGGTGTGTGCGCGTGTGTGTTCGTCTGAAAAGAGACGGGTTGTAAGCCTGATGTAGTAGTGCTTCCACGTTCCAACCCAGCGGACTCAAGCAAGAACATACATAAACGACTTGGGCGAGTAGTTCGGCTTCTTGCTGGACGGAACTCGTTTCACTTACGAGGAGAGGTTATCAGCCCCAAGGTCATGCAATGCAGCTCGTGAAAGTCAGTCATCTCAGATGTTCGCGACGAGTTTCAACCGCCAAGTATATGCACGAGTCTTTGCGGACCGATCCCACGCTTCCTTTACCTAGGTCCTTTATGGGTCCAGCTAGCTGAGTGAGGACAAACAGAGCTGCGGCTTGCCCGGTTCTCAACACCTCGGCCGATGGCATATGGAATATGCGGTGCCCGTGCAACCTGCAACCTGCAACTTGCTTCCTGATTCCTGCATACAGAGACCATGTACAGTATTCGGTCTCCAACTTTCCAACGGTTAGATTTTTTTTCTGTCCAAGAGATCTTGCTACTTATATATCCCGACTGTTGATCCTTTTTATATAGAGAGACTCTGCTTAAAGGTTCTCTAACCATTCTATTCAGGTATATATAATCTAATGATCTAATATCCGTGATGAATGAGTGGTAACAAAAATAAAAATATCCATGCATAGATAACACATAATTTCCGTCTCTAAGACCCACATTTTCATAATGCCATTTGGATTTATTCTTGAAGAAAATCAGACGTCATGACACCTTCATCAGGTAAACTATATACTATACTGTAAGAAATTTGGACAAAGAACGAAGAATGCATGATAAACGAGTTGTTTGGAAAAAAAATTGATCATCAAAAGAGATTTCTTAATCATCTAGCACTCCCTGGGCGAGTGCCGCCAAGCTGGCTTCATATCTGGCAGGATTGTGGTCGCTCAGCATTCCCGAGCTAAATCTCAGTTCTGCGAACCTTGCCTCGACGTTCCGGATAAATTTGAACTGTACCCTGGTGGCGGGCCTTCCGAGCTGAGGATACCCATCGCCGGTAGTGTCTGAAGTGAAGGCGTTGCGTTGCAAAACGCGCATCGTCTCCACAACGAATACTTCCCCCGGCGGCATCAGCTTAGGAGCGACCATCTCCTCGCGCAGGCTTTTCAGCGCGAACCACGCCCAACTGTCTTCGCCAAAGCCTTCACCAGCATTCATGAACATGGGTGGCTGGTTGACATAGAATTTGTTCAGGATGCTCTGCCTCAGTCCTTCCCAGACACGGGAGCGAATCTGCGATTTGGAGCCAGTCGTGTCGTTTTTGAACGCCAGAGCCACGGCCCGGAAGTCATGTAACGTTCCCAGAGAGAGGCTGGGCACAATGTCCTTCCCATTCACCACGGTGGTGATCAGACCGCGTGTAGCACGTCGCAAGAACGGGGACATCACAGCTGGCGGTCCATATGCATACACATGGATAGGGCGACCTGAAGGGAGGGAGAAGCTTCTAGCTGCCTTCTGCTGATGGTTGGCAGTCAAAAGCAGCGGCCGAGCCGCGGTGAGAGTCGAAGCGGTGACAAACGAAGGCCCGTACGGGTCACTATTGGGCTCTGAAATCATCGTTGCAAGAAGCGCTGCAACGCCACCGCCCAGCGAATGGCCGCAGAAAACAACTCCGTAGTCTGGAAACTCTTCGAGGGCAGCCCTTATCGTCGCCATGACTTTGCCGCCCTCTCCTTCCAGGAGACGCCTCGCGGAGGCATGCATGCCTTTATGCACCTTCCAATTTTTGCCCTGCCACTCAAGATCGTCGTAGTCGCACGTCATGTCCGTCAGGATATCTTCAAAGCCCCAAGTGCCTCTGAGAGTGAGGACGACAGCCTTGGATTCATGATCCAGGCAAAGATAATGAACGAGAGGAAATCCCGATTCCGTTTCGCCAGCCGCGTTGGAGCCGCCTGCAGGATCCAGATAGGACGAAAGGAGAATTGTAGACGGAGGGAGACCTGTGAGATTGGAAAAGGAACTGTGTTCGTGATTGTCTGAATCGTAGAACTGAATCGTCTTCGTAGTATGAGGAACACCCATCACCTTGAGAGCGTTCGATCCGTATGACGCCGAGGAAAAACGGCAAAATCGACGAATGTTGTTTACCAGGTGGTTGTCGGGGAAGATCCCGGGCACTTTCCCATTGCGATTAAGTGCTATGATCGTCGACTGGTCTTCGTAGACGCTTTTGCGCGGCCGAGGGGCAAGGATGAGTGATGTCTCCGAACCGGTCGCCGCTAGGGAGTAGATGCTGGGAGCAAACGATCTAGGTCGTCTGTGAGCGTTAGGAGAGACGGGCCGCATATCATCATTCAGCGACACAGTGATATCTTCGGATCTGGTTCGAGACATGGAACTGCTGCTGCGGAAATGAGTCCGGGTATACGAGGCGGAACCAGGACGAGTCTCAACGGAGCGCAGCGAGTACGAATCCGTCTGAGAGACGAAGGACTCCCTGTTCGTTTCCTTCACGGAAATATAGTCCGTTCTCGAAGACGTTTGGGTGGGCAACTCCCGGTGGTGCGATCTGCTTGCGGTTGGGGATGGCGTTGATCGAAATGCTGCAGTATCTTGGTGTGGAACTCGCGGCAGGCTTTTGTTCAAGTTCACTGAGCCTCGACGATGCCCAGGATTTCGCGATGTGCTCGTCTGCTTCGCTTTGGCCGTCGATCTACTTGACGGACTTTGTGTCGCGGTCGAGTCCCTGTTGGAGGCGGACTCCTTCGGACTTTTGTTGGCCTTTGATAATGCCGTGGAGGCACTTGTGTCAAGAGACTTTCTCGACCCTTTCTTCATCGAAGATCTCTTATTTCCATCTGATCTCTCTCCAGGTGTCGACTTTACTTTCTGCGCAATCTTCGCAAAAGAAGTCTTCCCAAACGTGCTCTTGGGCGTGTCCGAGCCGCTAAGAGATGAGGAGCTGAGGACGCGACGAGGCCGCTTTTGTACCACCTTCGAGGCATTAGTATCCGCAGAGTTTCCTTCTGGTGACTGGATTCTCCGGGTTTTGTGACGATGACCGTCTCTACTTTTCCTTGGCGACAACATCGAGGGAGTGGTATCCTGGGTTGCGTCATTGCCATGCTCATCATCATATCCACTGATTCCGCTGCGGGAGTCCTCCAGATCTAAAGCTTTGATGTCGCAGATCTCTTCGACCCTTGCATCTGTTTTGGCTTCTTCTGTGGCGTCCGATTCGGGTAAAATGGGATGATCAGAGCTCTCCGGTCGCAGATCTGAGCTCTGGGTGTGATTCAACGTGGTACGGAACACCACAGTATGTTTTGGTAGGCGTTGGGTACCAACAGAGCTTTGGTCATTGTGAAACCTCTCCTCGATCATCATAGTCCCCGGCGGCGCAGCTATCTCTGCGACATCATCGTCGAAAATGTCAACAGTTATGGTACGGTCGGTCACAGTTTCTGTCCTAATCGAAGCGTGGCTACCCTGTGGCAGCTGTCTCATGATGTAGAGACGGATGTCCTCGTCTGATAACTGATATTGGTCCCCAGCTGGGAGTGCCAAGTGAGAGCTTGCACCGGGTGTAACAGACTTCGTTCGTTCCATCGCACTGAAAGTGTCTTCATCCTCCCCAGGGGATAAGAACGAAGCCGGGCGAGCAGAGTCTTCTAGGTCATTAGAGACGCTCTTTGCATACTCGGTGGTCTGCGTTCCGATAACATCGGCCCTCACTCCGTTGTCTAAGATCACGACATCCCAGATGGTTACTTCGCCTTCGCTTTCGCGCAGTTCCCTCTCCGAGTTTCTTCGTCCCCATCGTTGTAGCAATGCGAACCCGATGGACCCGACCAGCAGGTCTCCAACCCCAACCTTGTCAACATCCTTCCCCGTCTCGTTCTTCCCGAACTCTCTGCGGACGAGGGTGATTATAGACGCGATAGCGCGCGACGACTCTGTTGAGCCAAGGATTGCGTCGAGCGTTGATAGGAGGTTCTGCGACAGGTTCGAAATCGATGACAGCGCCGCTTCAGAAAAATGAAAACTTGCAGATGCGAAGAACGATGCGGACGTGATGGTCGAATGCAGAGTAGCCAGCTAACACGAAGACATCAGGTGAGCAACTTGCATGGAAAGCATGGCATGGAAAGGCAGGCACCTACACTCCGTTCCAGCAGCGATTCAGCTTCTAGCCTGCCATATTCGCTGTTGCTGCGCCCTGCAATCTCGCGACCGGCGCGCGACAAGACGCCTTCGATGACAGCTCTGCTCAGTTCCAAGCCCGTCAACGTGGTCACCCTTGCCCCACCGATCGCAGCTCCACCAACGTATGTTCCCAGGCGAAGCGAAAGCGACGTTGATTGAGCGAAGAAGGACACCAGCGAGGCAACGGGCCGTGGAAGGAGAGTCGCGCCTGACGTGGCAGGGATATGACTCGCATTGTCGCGATGCGGATTCCGATCGTCCACGGTCTGCAGAGCCTCATGAAGCCCTGAATCTTCAGGCATGACGGGTGTATCACATCCGTACCATCGCGTTGACGTTTCATCTGCGCGTTCAGAGCCGCGTCTTCGATATAACGCAGATTTATCGATCACAGGTTTGGATGCGAATCACATTGCCGGCTACGTCAGGCGCCCCTGGTCCGCTGTTGTTTTGTTGGTGATGATTCGCGGATTCGTTGGGGCATCGAAGATCGCGGCCCGCGGCGGGTCTGGGGTTGACATGTGACAGACGCAGCTCCGTTATATTAATGCTAAGTACGGTATTTTCTTGTCTCCTTGAGTTCTAATTAATGCAACGATCTGGCTTAGTGATCAAATACCTAACTCTGCCAAACATGGAAACTATCCGGAAATATTATGCTAGGCGAGCTACAGTTATTTGGCACGTGTATATATCTACACCCTGAAGACGGAGAAAAAGGGACATCTCTTCGCAATCACTCTGCAAGATGTCCACCCCCATGCTTTACATCATGGCCTTCACATCGCCTCCATACTGCACCCGGCGTACCACTTCCCGGTTACAGTTGGCGATCGTCCCAATGCCAGCAAGAGCGATGGTCTGGTAGAAATCGGCCAGCAGACCTTGTAGCACGGCCTTGGCCCCATGCTTGCCGTCAATGGCGAGGCCGTAAATGACCGGTCTGGAGACGAGCACAGCCTTGGCTCCGAGGGCGAGGGCCTTGACGATGTCCGCCCCCGTGCGGATGCCCGAGTCAAACAGAACGGTCATTTTTGATCCCACGGCGTCAACAATCTCAGGGAGAACTTCCAGGGAGGCGATGGCTCCGTCCACTTGCCGGCCTGCAATCGCCATACTTCGTCAGCGATACGAAAGGCAAAGAAACACGGATGAATTGGGACCCAGTATCCAAATAAAAGGACGTACCTCCATGGTTCGACACAACAATGCCATCGCATCCGTATTTGAGAGCCAACTTTGCGTCCTCTACATGCTGAATGCCCTTGAGGACGATGGGACCATCCCAGTTCTTGCGTAGTAACTCCAGCTGTTCCCATGTGTGTGGTTTCCCCGAGAAGACATCGGATATCCACGCTCTGGAGGCGCCCACAATGTCCTCCTCGACCTTGCAGCCAGAGCTTTCCTCGAACTTGGCCCGGAACACTGGGTCTGAGAAACCGACCTGATTTCCGACACCCTTGATGAAGGGAATGTATGCATTATCCAGATCGGCTGGGCGCCTGCGATGCTCATTCAGTAACTCGTTGGGAGAAGCGCGAAAGACGTGTGCCTACCATGCCAATGACCAGGTGTCCAGAGTGACCACAAGAACTTCATAGCCATTCTCTTTGGCTCTTTTCAGCAATGACAGTGTCACATCGTCATCTTGCGGCCAATACAGCTGATACCATCTCTTCCCATTCCCACTGGCGGCCGCAACGTCCTCGATAGAGCTGGAACTGGCCGTACTCAGGATATAGGGTACTCCGACTTCAGCGCACACCTCTGCCAGTCCAGTCTCTTTGTCGTCATGGAAGAGAGACTGGACCCCCACGGGAGCCATAAGGAGAGGAGTAGGATATTTCTGTCCAAAAAGGGTGACTGAAATATCCGGCTCACCAATCTACAATGGAAGCGAGATCCATAAATGTCAGCTGTCTTACTCTTATGGATACTGCGTATGCGATAGACAGACCGGCTTCATCATCCTTGGTATCCTGTCTTTGGGTCAGCCACTGTTAACGATAGCTTCTCGAGAAAGACTCATATCCCCCAGCGTTTTACGCATATCTAGTCCAAACCATCCATGTGAACGAATTTATGATTTTCACATGTAAATAAAATATCCAGAGACAAGGACAATGTGTAGAAATGAGAACGTCAAACACATACAACTTCCACTGACGGAACGCCAAGCGATTGCTGTCCATCGTTGCCTTCTCCCCAGCACCACCTGCCACATAGTTGAAGGACCGGGAGCCCAGGGCCTTGCGAGCCTGCTCCTCGAGAAGCCGGGGGTCCGTGGTCACGGTGGGCAAGACATTGTTCAACGCGCCATTGGCGTAGATCTGCTGCTGATACAGGCCATAATTCTCAGACATTTTGGCGACCAAGTTCTGAAGAAGAGGGCTGTATGTTAATTGGGGAACGTTAGTCTCCCGATGGCATTGCAAGTGAGGTGGCCTAGTTATGTACACAGAAGGTCAGCTTACTGGCAGGTCGATGGGGCCGAAAGATGAGATCGTCCGAGGCTTCCACTCGGCAGTCGGATTTATGACAAAGCGGAGGCTGCGCCACGGATCGTGGAGCACAACTCAAATCCTTGGACACAATCGATATAAATAGTCTAGTCACTTGTTATCGCGGCACTTGAACTAGATTAAGAAGTGCTTATGGGATTCTGAGCCATGAGAAATTCCAACTTTTTGCATATGGAACTTAGACGTGTGGTAAGAGGTTTAATACGCGAATACTAGGTCGTTCTTGTCCCTAAATATTATCAACCCTGATGCGTATGGGATTTGCGGAGATTTCATCCATTTGCCTACTTCGTATCATTGAAATTGACGACGTCGTCTGCACTCTGCAGTGTCACGTTGATCGTAATGCTAATCGGTACATGTCTTACCCAATTGAGCACCCGAAATATATGCCGAGATCACCCCTTGCAAGGAATAAATATCTAGTCTTTCTACAGATACGAGAGTCATGTCTTTAAATAAAAATTTCCGAGTAAATGATACTACGCCCTGTACATAAAATATGGCAATAATAGCTTCTCTCCCATGCGTTCTGCATTTAATCGCAGTGGAGACTCCGTTTAGGCTTTTGTTAGCGTCGATCCCGTCTTCTTTTTGATCCCTGAAGCTTATCACTATCGTTTGATTCATTGCTCGAGCGTCCCATGCTATAGTTTATGAATTTTATTGTTTTCTACTCGTCAGTTGAAGAGTACATCTACCAATGAAGAATAGAAGAACATGCACGCTTTTCCTTCTCCCTGCCTAACTCTCCTGTCACTTCTAATTCTCTCCCTTGCTGTTCTGCTCTATCCCACAGGCCCAACCTCGGTTCTCTCAAGCGTATCCAGTCTTGTGCAGCTCCGTACTTGTCCTCATTCCCTTTCGGAGTCTGTATCCCCGCACTCTCCCAGTTGGGGTACGTGGTTTCACCCACAACGCCTGAGACAGCAACCTGGGCAATCTACCACGAAACAAAGACCGGGATGGAACCTTCTCTACCATCTGGGTGGTAATGGACCATGGGTTCAAAGAGCAGATCCGGCTTTGACGACTTCTGCTGCGGCTGAGATTGCGCCGCCCGATGGCTGCACAGTGGATCAGGTGCATCTGGTATGTGTCTGCCTCAAGCATAGTTTCAATTGGAGTCAATTGAGAAGTCCATACCTACATATATGTCAACAAAACCTTTTTTTTGAAAGTCACTTTATTATGGATGACATCATGTGCTGAAAAGTATGGACCGTGGCAGATGTCCCGCCATGCGGAGCGATATCCCACGAGAAGTGCAGGTGGCCGTACGTGATCCAACACTTGATGAAGAACCTCAAACAACCTCCACTGCTTGGCTCTGACCTCGGATTTTCTCTGTCAAGGCCATCTCGCTCTTCTGACACGCATCAAGGCTACAAATACTACCGTAAATGGATCGCTCTCGTTTCTCAATGACTGGACCTATTTTACCGATGATCCGTCCCGTGACTTTGAGCAGTTGACCACGACAGGTCCCTACGCAGGCACACTGGAGGCGTTCACCACTGGGGTTCGCTTTCGCACGCGATACGCGCATCTGCTGCCCAAAGGCGCAAAGACCAGATTCTGGGCCAGTGATTCGGCGCGCGTAATTGACACCGCAAGATATTTTGCCTCCGGACTGTTTGGTCTTGATTGGGAAACGAAGGGGAAAGCTGAGCTGGAGATTATCCCCGAAACCCTGGAGCGACACACTGACACGCTCACGCCTGGTGATACCTGTCTCCGATACATCGAGGACACGGCAAAGGGGCACGACTATGGCGTCAATATGCTTACCTTGTTCCAGGATGTGTACCTTCCAGCAATCGCTCATCGTCTGGTCCATGAGCAGGGAAATCACGCTATAGGCAACTTCTCCAATGTCGAAGTCTACAGCATGCAGGAGATGTGCGGATTCGAGACGATTGCTCGCGGATCGAGTCCCTGGTGCGACGTCTTCATCGTCGAAGACTGGGAGCATTTCGAATACGCAAGGGACCTGATCCATTACTATAGAGCTGGGCCTGGAAATCCGTACGCGGGTGCGATGGGGTGGCTGTGGCTGAACGCGACAGCCAATTTGTTGCAGAGGGGCCCTGAGGCAGGGACTATGTTTTTCAGCTTGTAAGTTCTGCGATTTGCCCTGGATGAAGTGATGTAAAACTATGCGGCTCGCTGATCTTGAAATCGTCTACCTACTGTACATGTAGTGTCCACGACGGCGACATTGCTCCCATGCTCACTGCTCTTAACATCTTCCCGGACCCGAAATATGATCCACATCTCCCCGTAACACACATCGCCACAGACCGCGTCTGGCGCATGTCCACTGTTCTGCCGATGGGAGGCCGGCTCAGTTTTGAACGACTCACCTGTGGGAAGTGGCCAGAAACCGAACCCAGCAGTCAAACCAGCAACTTCGTCCGCATCAACATCAACGATGGCGTTGTGCCCCTGCCGGATTGCCACTCTGGTCCCGGAGGAAGCTGTCCTCTCGAACAGTTTGTGGAGCGGGTGCGCAAACGCAGAGAGGAAGTTGGTGATTTTGCTGAAGTGTGTGGTACGACTGGAGATCGGGCGCAAGGAATCACGTTTTTGCGACAGGACGATCTTGGTTGATTCGAGGTGGAGAGGTGTGAAGCAGTTAGCTGTATATTCTTCAAGGTAGATAGTTATCGATACCCAATAAGTTTTTTTTTTAGGCGTGGCCTGCCTTCAGAGAGCAGAAGCCGCCAGGCTGTTCCAAGAAGCGCTCTTCTCCTATGTAGAGACGGCCATTGGTATGTACTCTCATGCGCCCGGGAATCAGCACGAGTTATAGCAAGGAATATGGATAGGAAGCCTAATAGAAAGTCGATGAAGAAGACCATCTAATACGAGAAATGACGTAGGGTGAGGAATATGGGTGCCATGCCCGTCTGGGAAGTAGATTACCTTAAAAAGTAGGTATCCTTGGTGTAGACGAGGTAGCAATTTTTTCCTTTCAAACCAGTCGAGAGCAGCGAGACCTTGGAGGTTTGTATCCTATATCGAGTACTGGTATCGATACTATTTTTTTGGGATTCTATGGAATCCGTACAGAACTGGCGCCCAAGAATCAGATCTGATAACTACTGTACTACAACATGCTAGTCGAAATCCCACAGAAAAACTCTGACGAGATCCCTTTCGCAGACTGACTCAATATCATCCATAATATTACACTTTGATCTGTAGCCGTCGACAGTACACTGCTTCTTTCTCAGGCATAAGCTCCTTCTCAGGCGCAAATATTCGTACGCGTGACAGGCAGCTGGATCTAGTAAATTTACCGAATCGAGTAAAGACCTTTCTCCCTCTTACTCGAATCGTGAAGGCGAAAACCTGATCTGTGACTACAATCTTTCCCTAGATAGGATAGAGCAAAGTGAAGGAGGTGGAAACTGCTCCTGCAGAGATGGGCTCCAATTCACTGCTGGGAGGTGAATCGATGATGGTCATTGGCCAGTGACAAGCAGTGTCGAGTTTCTTTGTTTGCAGCAGTCACTTTCTTCTTACTTCACTTGCAATTGGAATCTTTACTGCTGGCCATCAGCCCTTGATCCCCCGGATTTTGCCGTCGAAACAACGTGACTGCAGCTGTAGGACTGATTCGATTTCATCTAGAGTGCAATCAGACGATTGCAGTAACGTGCCCAACCCTACCGAAATTGGATGAGAGGTACTATCAACCTGTATCGACTGCAGTGCTCGTATATTTGTATCTCACTTACTATGTCTGCGATTGTGTGTACCCGTCAGACGATTCGTAGCTGTT